CATGTAGAGTGGACACATCATGACAGCATCAATTTTTGATCTGGTCCATAAATTATCATTTTAAATTCCCAGAACCTTGAACGGAGTGAGAATTCAGGGCCCTGAATCGAAATCCCTACCCAAATCAAGTGTCTTCGTCCACCACCACATCAGTAAGGAGCAGTGACTAAGGCAGCAGCATTTCACAAAACAGGTGACTTAACAAAGCCATCTCCTATAAACTGATCTGCAGCCACAGAGCAGGGCAAAGATAGTGCAGCCAGTGGCCAGGAAAATCATCGTGGCCCTCCATTTCTTTACTCTTAAGATCTTTCCAAGAGATTGAACAAAGAACTGTGAAATGATGGCATTGGTCTATAATGCAGTTGACAGATTCTCTTCATGGTAATGAAGCAGACTTCAGTTTTCTCTTTTAGCAGACAGCAGAGGAAAAAGCAAAAACCAAAACATGTGACTTTGCCAAGCTAGCAAATTTACAATGGTGCAAGAAGCTATTGGTTACATGCATATGCCTCTGCAGGCCTAGTATTAACTGGAAGATGGCAACTGGTCCTAAATGTGGATTTCACGGGCAACCCTGTATAGAATGAGTCAGTGAATGCCGACTACTCTGACAGCAGCCACAATACTTGTAAACTGCAGCAGTCTACAGTATTGGAACCTGCCACTACAGCAAGCTAGAAGTTTGCTGGGTTTGTAGAGGGGGCTACGTGCTATCTCATGATTCCCTTCACCCCCTGATCATGCGTAGACATTGCATTTATGAGGACTAAATTGCCGCAAAGAATACTTTTGTTCACGTACTTCGTTAAATTTCTAAGCCCCCTCATAGTTTACTTTCACATTGCACTTTGTATCATCAGAAAACCTAAAGATATTGCACTCAGCTCTTGAATTAAGTCACAAATACCTGAGGATAAAGCACTAATTCTTGTGAAATTCCAATTGTAATATCCTGTCAATATGAAAATGACTCATTTATTCCTTCTCTTTTCTATCTTTTTTGATGAATCCTTGCCATAGAGGGAGTGTAGTGAAGCTTCACAAGATTGATTCCTAGCAATGGTGGGTTTGTCTACGAGGAGAGTTTGGGTCTATGTTCAATAGAGGTTAGAAGAATCAAAGGGAATCTCACTGAAGCATATAAACATCTGTCAGGGCTCCACAGACTGGATGCAGGATTGATGCTTCCCCCAGTCAGAACGTGTCCAGAACAAGCAGTCATGGTCTTGGAAAGCAGGAAGCCATTTCAGACTGAGATAAGGAGAAACGTCTTTGCTGAGAGGGTGGTTAAGCTGTGGGATTCTCTACCACAGAATGCTGTGAACTATGCCAAGCTTGTGAATATGTTTAAGAAAGTAATAGATATATAGAGGCTAAAAGTGTCAAGGAGCATGGGGAGAACGTGGAAGTATGCCATTGAGATACAGGATCAGCTATGACTACGTTGAATGGTGGAACAGGCTTGATGCCTGAATAGCATACTCGTGTTCTGATTCTTTATGTTATTATCCCAAACTCCAAGAAACTTCACCTTGCACAGCAAACTATCAAATGCCTTCTGAAAATTCAAATATGCAACTTCTGGTTCCACTTTATCCACTCCGCCAGTTACGTTAATGGCTTCCAGAATTTTTCCAACAACTGATATCAGGCTAAGTGTCCTGTTCCCCATTTTCTCTCCCTCCTTTCTTGAAAGTTACATTTGAATTCTTCCAATCCACTGGAATCTAGGGAATTTTGGAGCAATGCAAGTGCCATCTTTACAGCCCTCTCTTTTAAAACTCTAGAATATGGGCATTCAGATCCAGGGAATCTGTCCATGTTTAATCCCCTTACATTCTACTGTACCTTTGCTTTTTTAATAACTAATTTAAGTTCCTTTGTTTAGACCCATGGGTTTCTAACTATTTCTGGATTGGACTAAATATTTGAATTATCTCTGCTATTTCGTAATTAGTTCTAATTTCTTTTCTCAGGCTGCAAGGGAATCAACATTTACTTTAGCAACTTGTGTCTTACTCTGGTTGAAATTATAAACTGTTTTATTCTCATGATATTCATTCTTTCAGTGAAATTTTTGATGATCTTTTGTTTGTTTCTAAAGCTCACCTAATCCTCAGGATAACTACACTTCCTGACAATATAAGCATCTTTTAATTTATCACTACCTTTAATATCTTCAATTGCTTATGAATGGATGATTCTTCCTGTAGGGTTTTTATTTCTAAATGGACTGTATACTCATTAAGAGGGGGTCAGTTAGCTGGATGGTCTGTTTATGATTCAGTGTGATGCCCACAGGATAGGTTCAATTCCCATGCTGGCTGAAGGACTCTCCATGTCAATCTCTCCTGTCCCCTAAAGTGTGGTGACCCTAAGATTAAGCCACCACCAGTAGACTCTCTCTAATGAGAGAGCAGCCCTATTGTCTGGTAAGACTATGGCAACTTTTACATTATATGCATTATATTTATGTATATTGCAAGTACCAGAGGGAAGATAACTTGAAGTCAAGCTCATGATCCATCACTTATTGAAGGAACCTGGAGCCAGTTCGAAATGAAAAAAAAATTGAACAGTAACACTGCAGGAAGGCTCATGTTGATTGCCTGGTGAATATTATTACTGTTTTTTTTTACATTTCCCCGACAAGGTTAGACAGCTGGGAAATTAAAAATGTTACTTCTTTATTAAAAGTAATTTAAAAAGCATTCGGCTTTCCTACATTCAACTAGTGTCAACAGAAAGGAAGAGATAACTTGGCGAATCTATAGGTAGTAAAGTTTATTACCTGAGAAAAATGTCAGGGCAGCTCTGACCTCTGAACCTGTATCTTGTGGTATGTGGGAACGACAGAATGCTTCTCATCTCCTGCATAAACATACGTAGGATTTGTTATCAACCACAGAAGCTTAAATTTCAGCCTTTTGAAGTTAAGTAGCAGCTGGCATCACTCTGGCATAATTGTGAGGCTAATAGCTGCATGGATAGCATGCTTATAGGTATAAATATTCAGGGAGAGAGAGAATGTGCAACCACCACGTTGTTAAGAAGAAACTGGCAAGTAGTGCAGGAATCTCCTAAGTGAATCCCATTCTCCAACCAGTATTCAGTTCTGACTGGTGGTGAAAATGATGGCTCTTCTGGGTACTGCGCCCAGAGCTAGTCCGTGGCACCATGGTTTGCTTAGCTGTATAGGTGTTACACAAAAAAGGACTGATAAAGGCAACTTGATGTTAGGGGAACAGAGAAGTATTTTTGAGGCCATGGATTTGAATCCAGATTGACATGTGGCTTCCCTAGTGCCAGGGTCAAGGATGTGACTGAACAGCTGCAGAACACTGTCTGGATAGGATTAACAGGCAGCACTGTGGTCCATATTAGTAGCAACAAAATTGGCAGAAGGAGAGAGTCAAAGTAGACGACTGCTTATTTGGAAAGATGGTGCAGGAGGGAGAACTTAGATTCTTTGGACAGTGGATCCAGCTCCAACGTAGCTGTCATATGTACAAGCAGGTCAGGCTGTGCCAAAAGAGAACTGGAAACAGGTGATTTGCTTACACTGTTAGACAGTTTAATTTGGCAGTTGGGGAACCAAGAAGTAGTATTAGAGAGGAATACCAAGGTGGTTAGAACACTAGGAGAGTCAGATGGCACTAAGGTAGAAAATAGTAAGGGATAAAGTGGTAGCAGAGTAAGGCAGAAAGTAATACAGTTTAAATTAGGTATATTCTGAATGTGCATACAGAAAGTGTGGTAAATAGATTGGCAAATGCAGATACAAACAGCCACGTAGAAATTACGTTGCGGCTATAGTCGAAGAGCTGGCTGAAAGAAGAGCAGGCCCGAGTATTAAACATTCCTGGATTAAAGCTGTTCAGGAAATTAGAAAACAGGGAGTCGAGGAATATTGATTAAGGAGAACACAGCAGTGGAGGAGAGAGATGTCACATGGGATACAGGTCAGAACCTATTTGGCTAGAGCTAAAGAACAAAGAATTGCATGGCTTGTTTTAATCCAATGGGAAAGATATAGAAGAATAAATGTGAAAGTAAGTTACAAATAGCTGCAAGAATTATAGTGTCATTGAAATAGGGTACTTTAATTATCTGTAAACAGACTGAAACTCTAGCAAAGGGCAAAAGAAGAGCAAAAGGTCCTCGAGTGTACTTGGGGAATTTTTTAGATCAGTATGTTTCCAGTCCAATGAGAAAGGAGGTAATGCTAAACTTAGTCCTTATGTCTGAGGTGTGCCAAGTGAATCCAATACCAGCAGGGGTACATTTAAGGGATAGTGATCATTGTATTATTGAATTTAGGTTGGCTAAGATACAACGAACAATCCAGAGTAAGTGTAATTAACTGGGGAAAGCCAATATCAACTGGGTAAGAATGGATCTGACCCAGATAAATTGGAATTAAAGGTTGGCAGGCAAAACCGTAACTGAAAAATGGCTGCCTTTAAAGACGGGGTAGTTCAGACAGATAAAAGTACATTCCCACAAATGGGAAAAGGAGGGCCATCAAATCCAGAACTCCCTGGATAACATGTGCATGAATCATCAAAGGTGTTAGGTCAAGTTGGTACAGCAATTAATAAAGTACATCACATTCTAGGCTTTATTAATATGTGCATTGAGTACAAAAGCAAGGAAGCTATGTTAAACTTATACATTGAACTCTGATTTGACCTCAATTGGAATACTGGATCTGGATCTCACACACAAATTACAAGAATGAATTTGAAAGAGTGCAGGAAACATCAACAATGATTCTGGGGATGAGGAATTTCAGTTATGTTGAGAAATTATGGTAGTTTTCCTTGGAGAAGATGAAGCTGACAGGGGTTTTAGTAAAAGGTATACAAAATCATGAGGATCATGTTCTCATTGGTGGAAAGATCAAGAGCCAGATGGCACAGATTTAAGGTAAATGGCAAACAAGCAATGGTGACCAGAGGAAGAAAAGGTTTCATACAGAAGTTAGGATCTGTAACATGGCGCCTTCACCACACTTTCAGGCAAATTCAGTCAAAGCATTTAAGGGGAAATTGGATTATCTGAAAGGGAAGAATGTACAGAAAGTCAGTATAATCATAACAGGTCATACTTCTGTGCTGTAACTATTTGGCAAAATAGTTGCCATTGCTTATCCCGTCCTACCTTGTTATCTAATTCCCCAATTTACCTACGCCAACTATACCCACATAATTTGCTTTATTGAAGTTTAATAGTTTAGTTTCAGATTGAAATGTACACATTACCCTTGAATTCAGTGTGAAATTCTATCATATCCCTTACTGTGATTGCTAATCATACTTGTGTTACTACACAAGGTAAGATCCAAAATAGCCTCTTCCCTAGTTGGTTCCAAATCATTGTTTTTGGAAATTGTCTCTAATGCATTGCATGTACTGGTTCTTCAGACTACATTTGCTAATTTGATTTGTCCAGGCTATGTCTTCATTGATTAATATTCTGTCCCACAACCCTGTAAACTAATTTCATGTACATTTTCTGCAACATATTTTGTAACTCAACTGTACCAAGCCTGATTACAGATCCTTTGTACCAAGATCCTCCTTTGCTGCTACCTTTATCCTGTCTTTTATTATTATAACAACTTTACTTGTCATTTTCTATTTTGTTTATTGTTTTTAAAATATCAAGTCTCTGGAATATTTATTTCCCAACCTTGGTCACCATTCCACCACCTTTCTGTAATGGTTATTAATCTATATTGAGATTTCCTTCAATTTATGTCACTAATTTATCTGGAATACCTTGAGCTTTCAGAAAAAAGACTAATTTTAACTTTTTACTATTGCCCATCATTTGACCTTATTTACTGATGCACTGTTGCAGTTCAAGCCAACACTTCTCAACCAGCTCGGTCATTTATCTCACTGCTGTTTGCTATGTGTAGAAATTGACAGGTTTAACTATACTTCAAAAGTCACTGATGTGAAACAAATTGGTAAATAGAGAAAGCAAAGTGTGTTATATCAATGCAAGTTCTATTTTTCCATTTCCAGAATGATAAAAAGTGATTCCAATTTATAACCTTGCAAACTGAAACAATTATAAACTATGCTGCACCTATGGGGAGAAAATAGTAGCAAAATACCCCAGTACTAGCATGTACTTATCACCAGTTTGGTCATAAACATATGGGTTTATAAGTTCAGAGTACCAGCTGCTGAATAAGAAGCAAATTATAAGAGGATTCAGTCAAAATGTTGCAAGTGTTCATCTTTTTCAGAAACTGTTCAACTGCTGTACTTTCAACATCTGATTTTGAGAATAATAAGTATCTGTGCCCTGAAAACCACAGGTATTTTATCCTGGGCCACTGCAAAGCCCTCTGATGCTGAAGCTAAAATTGTTCCAGGCGTCAGTTGAGTGAGTTCTCCCTCAATGGGCATACCTCCTGTACAAGATGAGTTAATAATCTATACTTGCATACTGTCTTTTGACTTTTACATTTCAAACTATCCCTCAAACTTATTTGTCACTCAATTTTTAGTAAGCCTCTATCATTCCCATCTAGATAATCTCAGAGGGACCATAACATTTCATTATGGCATCCTTAGGCATGCAAATATTTGGACAGAAAAAAATGGCAACAGGTGGTTCACAGTGATGAAACATGGCAAATTGCATCAAACTAGCTGAAGAAAACAGAACTAATTACAAATCAAAGAACAAATTGTTCTTTAGGCCACACCGGGTAAACCGAGCGGAGGCTTGGGGACCGCTTAGCAGAACACCTACGCTCGGTTCGCAATAAACAACTGCACCTCCCAGTCACGAAACATTTCAACTCCCCCTCCCATTCCTCAGACGACATGTCCATCCTGGGCCTCCTGCAGTGCCACAACGATGCCACCCGAAGGTTGCAGGAACAGCAACTCATATTCCGCTTGGGAACCCTGCAGCCCAATGGTATCAATGTGGATTTCACAAGCTTCAAAATCTCCCCTCCCCCTACCGCATTCCAAAACCAGTCCAGCTCGTCCCCGCCTCCCTAACCTGTCTTTCCTCCCACCTATCCCCTCCTCCCACCTCAAGCCGCACCCCCATCTCCTACCGACTAACCTCATCCCGCCCCCTTGACCTGTCCGTCCTCCCTGGACTGACCTATCCCCTCCCTAACTCCTCACCTACACTCACCTTTACTGGCTCCATCCCCGCCTCTTCGACCTGTTTGTTTCCTCTCCACCTATCCTCTCCTCTATCCATCTTCTATCCGCCTCCCACTCTCTCCCTATTTATTTCAGAACCCCCTTCCCCTCCCCCTTTTCTGATGAAGGGTCTAGGCCCGAAACATCAGCCTTTCTGCTCCTATGATGCTGCTTGGCCTGCTGTGTTCATCCAGCCCTGCACCTTGTTGTCTCGGATTCTCCAGCATCTGCAGTTCCTACTATCCTCAGTCTGAGTTTTGCAATGGCATTCTTACCATCTCGAAAACATCAGATATCAGATTGGCCTAAGGAATAATTTGTTCTTTGATTTGTAATTAGTTCTGTTTTCTTCAGCTAGTTTGATCTGAATAATTGGCAGAATAGGCTTGAAGGGCTGAATGGCGTTTGCAGTTTCTAAACCTAACACTTACGTAAGAAATAGGAGCAGGAGTAGGCCATGAGGCCCATCAAGCCTGCTCCACCATTCAACAAGATCTTGGCTAATCTTTTCATGGACTCAACTCCACTTACCTGCCCGCTCACCATAACTCTTCATTCCTTTACTGTTCAAAAATCTATCTTTACCTTAAAAACATTCAATCGACAAGGTAGCCTCAACTGTTTCACTGGGTAGGAAATTCCACAGACTGACAACCCTTTGGGTGAAGAAGTTCCTCCTCATATGAGCCCAAAATCTTTTCCCCCTTATTTTGAGGCTATACCCCCTAGTTCTAGTTTCATCTGCCAGTGGAAACAAGCTCCCTGCTTCTATCTTATCTATTCCCTTCATAATTTTACAATGTTTCCATAAGATTTAAATTCCAATGAGTATTGTCCCAGTCTTATTCTCTCTCTCCTTATAAACCAACCCTGTCATCTCCAGAATCAATCTAGTGAACTTCCTCTACACCTGCTCAAGTGCCAGCACATCCTTTCTCAAGTAAGGAGACCAAAACTGTACACATTACTCCAGGTGTGGCCTCACTAGCACCCTATACAACTGCAGCATAACTTCCGTACTTTTAAAATCCATTCCTCTAGCAATGAAGAACAATATTCCATTTGCCTTCTTAATTACCTGCTGCACCTGTAAACCAGCTTGCTGCGATTCATGCACAAGGACACCCAGGTCACTCTGCACAGCAGTACACTCCAATTTTTCACCATTTAAATGATAGTCCTTTTATTTCTACCAAAACAGATGACCTCACATTTACCAACATTTTACTCCATGTGCCAGACCCTTGCCCACTCATTTAATCTATCTATAACCCTCTGCAGATTTCAGTGTCCTCTGCACACTTTGTGCATTCAATTATTTTGAATGTGATTTTCACTCCTCTGTTCAGATTTACAGCAAATGCAGAAATTAGTGGAGCCAAAAAAACCTTAAATGCCTATTAGGTCTTCAGGTAAATGATGATGTTGTTGTTTTGTGAATGAGACTGATAACAGCCAGATCTTTTATGATTTGTTGCGTTTCTGTAAGTTGGATAGATGTTGAAAGCAAAGCATGACAAGACAGGATTCAGGACTGTGCCCCCAACATCTGGAAATCCATTAGCAAGACAAAAAGAACAAAAACACAGGAGAGTTCATCATTGTCACTCATCAGCTTCTTAGTTAATTCAAAACACAGATTCTCTCTGTTTTACAGCATAGAACATACATGGCTGAACACTTGCAAAATGGTTGCCATTGGTAACTCAGTAAATGGAAAATTACAGGTAACAACTCATTTCTTGCCACTTCACAGTGCCATGTGCTCATGCTTCAGTGGGTCTCAAAATCACTTATCTGTGGAATCCCTTTAGTTCTTCTGTTTCAAAGCTGAAATGTTTGTGGAAGTGTTTGTTGGAAGACAACTTGATGTAATTATAAACTCTTACTCAACAGGTTATGAATAGTGATGCTTCTGTGCATAATACAGCAAAATTTTTCATTAACAGGCACCTATGGGACCAGGAGCATGACCGCTGATCAAATATTTCAGGTAATCAAGAGTTCCACAATCAATATAAAAACACACTAAATAATAGAAACATTATACAGGGGATAGAACATCACTGTTATATTTTCATATTCAATTACAGATTAAATCACTTAAATAATAATGCAGTTTTGTCTTAAATAAAACTTACCAGCAGAGAGCATGCTCACTCTCACCTTCAACTGACTACTTGGACATCACCGTAGATCACTGTATTTGAGAAGAAATTGACTCAAAATTGAATCAACTCGATTATAGGTTCCAGACAGTGTGAAAACAGGCCATTTGGCCCAACAGGTCCACACTGACCCTCTGAAAAACATCTCACCCAGATCGTTTGGACTGTGGGAGGAAACCGGAGCCCCTGGCGGAAACCCATGCAGACACAGGGAGAAAGTGCAAACTAGACACACAGGCAGTTGCCCGAGGGTAGAATTGAACCTGAGTCCCTGGCGCTGTGAGGCAGCAGTGCTACCTACCGAGCTACCACGCTGCCCTGCTGTTATTTTGTATGGCCACTTGCCTGAAGAATATTTACATTGACATAAATAAATTTTTTAAAAAAACTATAATAATTAAACAGAATAATACATTAAACTTCATGCTATTTGAGGTTTATATCTTTTGCCAGTTTATCAAAAGTGCTGGTTCAAACAAAGTTTGCTGCACTTAAATTTTGAGCTATGCACTTCCACGCTCAGCTTTGGTCAAGTTATTATTTTGGAGTAAGGGTCATAGGGTTATTGGGTCATAGTTTAAAGATAAGGGATTGTCCGTTTAAGACAGAGATGAGGAAACTTCTGTTTCTCTCAGACAGTCTTTGGAATTCCTTTCTTCAAAAGGTAGTGAATGCATAATCTTTAAATATTTTTAAGGCAGAAGTAGATAGAGTCTTGACTACCCAAGAGAT